TTGGGTGGCAGGTAGGGAGGTGGATCAGATACGGTTCCATTGTGCCAAGAAAAATGACATCTTGACCTTTTTGGAATAAAAACTTTATTGAGATAGAATTCACATACTATGCAATTCTAAAAAAAAAGTTTTTGTAGTATATTTGCAGGGTTATGCAATGATCATATACCACAGTCCCTATGAGCAGCCACTTCCCACCAAGGCTCCAGCCCCACACAACCACTCATCTACTTTCTGTCTATGGATTCGCCTGTTCTGGACATTTCATAAATGGATCACACACTGGGTGTCCTTTTGCATCTGACTTCTCTCACTCGGTATCAAACTTTCACAATCCACCCATGTTGCAGTGTGCATCAGAGCATGATTCCTTTTTGTTTGTTTGGTTTTTTTTTTTTTTTTTTGATGTATTTACAGAACTGGGGTACAGGCCAGAGGTGCAGGGGCAGTGAGAGGGTTCACCAGAGACAGAGTGGGGAGCAGAACATGCAGATGGACGAAGTACACTGCTGAGGGGAGCAGCGGGATGGCCAGGGGAGGTCTGCCGCGCCATGTGGGTCACCTCTGGGGCAGGGATCGAACTAGTGCTGAAGTGGTTTTAGCTTCTTAGTGCTGTGCTTTAACATGCTGCGTCACCAGGGAAGGCCGCATGAATCCCTTTTAAGACTGCAGGAGAGACCACAACTGTTTTTTATACATTCCTCCCTTCATGGATATTTGGGTTGTGTTGGTCTTTTGAACACTTTGGCAGCAATCTCCTCAAACATGCCAACCTCGTTCCTACCCCAGGGCCTTTGCCCTTACTACCTCTTCAATCAGCCTCTACTGTGAGTGAACATGTGTAACATCCACCTCTCTCAAGACTGTTAGCTCCAGTGGGGCAGAATCACTGCCTTGTTTTGTCTTTTGTTTTATCCCCAATTTGGTGCCTGCAGCTGGGGCTCAGGGCTGAGACACCATGTGGCTGCCTTCCCCAAGGGCCATCTCATGAGACTCAAATGTCTCAGTCAGAGGAGGAGAGGCTGACATTAAAGGGTGAGAGTTTTGGAGTCCCAGGCTCACTATGTCCCTACTGACCCCCTTCCAGAAGTTTCCCTGGGAGCAACATGTTTGCAGATTCGAAGACTGTGGTCACCAAGAGGTAAGGGACAATTCTACTGTGACATTCTCAGAAAACGTTAGTTTGTGGGAGACCACATCCGCCTTGAGCAGGTCATGTGAATCAGGTTAAGCCCTGTGTGGTGAGACTTCAGGAGGCCAGGGCAGAGGGGGACTGATAAACCCCATGTTTCTGGAGACTAAACTCCAAACAAATGAGTCCCCAATGGGCAAACTTTTTAAGTGACTATGGTCTCTTGGGTACTTCCAATGACCTCCCAAAACATTGTTCCTTGCTATGGAGGCCTAGAGCCCTCCCTTGATCTGCATAAGGCCTAGAGGGTCAGAAAGAAGTGAGTTGCCCAAGGAGGTCCAGACCTTACTTTCTGGAGCCCAAGCTTGGATCTCCTCCAGCCACACACACAGCCTGTTGCACCTTAGATGCTTGTGTCCTCACCACCACCATGTGACTAAGGCAGGCTATTGTCATGCACAATATAATAATGAGGAAACTGAGGCCCAGAGAGGAAGAGTAGCTCATCTACTAAGTTAAGAGAAGCTGGGTTACATGTGTCTCTTGCTTGGGCCTTGTTGACCCATAGATTCCACCCCAGCCCAAGGGACAGAGGGGTGGGATGATCCAGCTTGAGCCCACAGTGTGGACTATCAAGGCTGGCTGGGTCAGGTTGATAGGCCCTTGGGGAGGCCCCTAACTTGGCTATGGGGATCTGTCTTTTTTTTTTTTTTTTGCTGGAAAAGGGAGAAGGAAGTGGTTTTGCCCATGTATTTTTGAGGTAGGAGGAGGCAGAACTTCACATCCGGGACTGGCTAATCTGGTAGGTACAGGCTCTGAAACCAGAGCCCACAGTATGTGCAGGGAGCCTCAAAATGATTACCATAACAAATACATAATAATATATGACAAAGAAAATGTAATACGTGTCCAGCCCAGACTACACGCCAATGGGTCTTGCCAGTGCAGTTGTTAAATATCATTTTAAATGTGTTTGTTTACAGGGGAAGTCATGTGGCCCAATCCACACACACAATACCCCTGGCTGGCCCAGACTCCACCCTGCCTCAGGGCCTTTGCCCATATTGTTCTTGGTGAAGAAAGCTCTCTTCACTTGCCTGCTACTTGTCCCTGATGGTCTTTCCTCCAGGTCAGCAAGGCCCCCTCTGGGAGTCCTGGCAACTCCAGTGCCCTCTTCCTGACAGGCTGTCCAAACTGTCATTCTACATCACTCATTAGATGGTAGGTAGCAGGAGAGCTTGGTGTTATCCCTGTGTCCCCAAGGACCTGGTACACAGTAACTGTTCAGTAAAGTCTTGCCAGGGTCTGGGTAAACAATATATCTCTCCAACAGCAACTTAGCTGTGCCTAGATGGCAGAGACAGGGGCCCTGCTTCAGGGTTCACCTGCTTAAGGAAACAGGAACCACCCCCAAGCAGCAGCCCCGCCCTGCTGACGTACAGACCATGAACCGAAACCCAGGCTCCTCCGAGTTCCAGGCACTGCCTGAGTGAGGACCTCGCTACCCAGGGGACTTCCAGGTAGGTGCCCAGATGGGGATCCCTCAGTCAGTCACCTGCCCATCTCTGTGATGCCCCAGGCAGAAGGAGGAGGAGGAACCTAAGCCTTGGCCCCATACCAGCCCTCGAGAGACAGAGCAAAGGGGCCAGATGGAATAAGGGGACCCTGAGTTCCAGAGGGACAAGAGGGAATTTCTGCAGGTGCTGGAGTCACCACTGGAAAATGAACTGGTATTGTGGGTGAGCATTTCTGACAGGGGTGCAACACAGCAAAGGAATGCTGTGGGGGGAGAGCTTGATCAAATTGGGATAGAGAAAAGTTTTTCTCAAGCTGGAAGGTGGGGGCTCAGAGTGCAGGGAGGCCAGGATGCAAGAGCAGGTGTTTAAAAACTTAATGGCTTCACTTGTCACTAGACAACTATCCATCAACAAGTACTCCTATACCTCCTCTGTGTCCTTCTAAAACCATGGGGGTGCTGGGGGTCCAGAAAAGTCAATAGGCCCCCAAGAGCCTTTATTATACTTCAACTCCATGAGGCAAGCCTAGGCCCGAGGCAGAAGTGGTGAGGAAAGCAGGCTTCTGAGAAGGTGCAAGGGCTTCTTCAAGGGAAGAGGCAGAAAAGCTACCTGGGGGTGCGAGTGTATTTGCTGGGTCTTCAAGGACAGTAGGAATGCTCTCAGGTAGAAAAGAACAAGAATGCAAACATTACTCATTGCTAAGTCACTACTGGAATCATGAATTTTTGCGACATACATATGGTACTTAGTTCCACACCAATTATACAAAAGCAAGTGCTCAAATAACAATTACGTGCAATGTGTTTTCGTTATAACATTGATGAGAAAAAATTCCCTGTCAACGTTGAATGAAACATAATTTGAAGACCTGCTTTTATTATCCGTCATTTCATTTGAAATCAAAAGTATCCAAGACATTAAGTGAACACTTACTGTACCTCTCCAGGTAACTAACATCATTCTTTCCAAATTGCAGATGAAAATACAGGCACAGAGAGGTTAAGTCGATTGACAGTGGTCACTCAGAGGCGAAGGGAAACTTTCATTTGAACCCCCGGCTCAGATTCCACTCTTAATCTCTCTGTCACCCTGCTTTATGAAACATTTCTTAAGAGGCCTATTTAATTTCACTTACCCCAGAATTCCTTTGAGCCACTCCCCAGAGGGCATGCTATCTGTCTCCTGGCAGGAGAGAGTCAATATTGACTGGGTTAGTCAACATGCTCCCTTGCTATGGAAACAGCCTGGTAGCAACAATCTTATGCTATTTGAGAAAGTTAGGCAGGGCCAGTTTGGGAACAGAATCAAGGGTCTTGATCGGATAACCCTGCAGGACACAGCCCTTTTTCTGGTTTTGCACCAACTCATACTCTTTTGCAAATTGGTGGTTTTCTTTTTTAGCTCTGTGTCAGTGACTCGCAAATTCTGTGTAACTTGAGCTTAAAATTGTCAAAAATGTGTGAGTGGACAATGTACTGACATAGCACAGGTGTGCCGGAAATGGCTGCCACACATGGCTGTCAAAGCCACTGCTTGCACTGCCGAGAACTCTCCAGCATTGCATGAAGTCACGGCCATCCGAGTGGCACCCATCCTGTCCACTTGATCGTTCCCTCCCTCCAGGACATTGCTAATGACATAGTCTTTAAATAAACCCACTTCTTAAACTTAAATACAAATCAGATCTTCCTCGACTTACAAGTGATTTACGCCCCAGTAAATCCATCCGAAGTGGGAGATGCCTTCATGACATCTCACCTACCAAATATCACAGTTCCACCCACCCAACCTTAAACATAGGGCAAACCATCTCACACAGCATCTGTTTTATACTAGAGTGTGGAATCGCTCATGGCATTGACCGTGTACATTATAGAGGGTGGAGCTGACTGGCCTGCTGCCGCCCAGCATCATGGGAGAGGTTTGCATCATATATCACTAACAAGGAAATTCAAAAGTCAAAACTTGAAGTAGGATTTGCACTGAATGCTTATTACTTTTCTGCCATCACAATGTAAAAAAAAAGAAATTTATATCAACCCACCATAAGGAGACCATTTGTATTTATAAAGAAAACTATCATTTGTAATTAAAGCATAATAAAAGTAAAAAGAGAAACTCTTGGAAGATTTTGGGAAGGATTTGATGAATGAATGTGCATAAAATACCAGCACATAGGAGGTACTCAAAAAAAAAAAAGCCCACAAGCCAGTTTCAATCCAACCTGGAGGATTGATCGTTGCTCTGTCCAACCTGGAGGATTTCTCAAAGGAGGAGGCACTAAAAGCTGCAAGAATAAAGCAAAAATGAGAAGTGAACAAGGCTTGATTCTTTCCTCTCCCCAGGAAGCCATGACAGAGACCAGAAAGCTGCCCCCACCATTGCCTCCACGACTGGATTGGTTTGTGCAGACACAGATGGGCCAGCTGGCCCAAGGAGGGGTCCCTGATTGGTTCCATGGTGCCATCTCCAGAGAGTAAGAACATATCTATTCTTTTACCTTGCTCTGTACCCTCTTTCTTCCTGTGTCCCTAGGCAGGTTTTTCACTGTGGAGTTCTAGGCGCCCCTTGGTCCAGTGTGTCAAGAGTTATGGAGTCCTGAGTGTGAATCCTGCCAGTGGGTTTGCTGTGTGACCCTAAGAAGTTTACTTCCTTCTCTGGACCTCTATTTTCTCGATACAAGTGACTACCAGATTAGCGCTACCAGGGGCCTGCTTATCTATCCCAATCCCACTCAGGCCAGATACACCAATCACTGATACAGGATGCAGCCTCAGGCTCCTTTGACCACAGTGCTCCACACAATTGCTCTAAAGCCAGGAGGAATGTAACCAATGTGCTCTTTCTACAGCAGCATGAACTCTGAGAACATGAACAAATCTACCTAGTTAGTCATCTCAAGGCTCTAAATAGAGAGCAAAACATTTATGCCACCCTATGCATGAAGGGCATATTTTTCTAGAAATTTATTAAACACAATTAATCTTTACAGTAGAAGATCTGGACAATCAGACTGTTACTTAAACAGCTTCCACTTCTGTTAAAATTCCAAAAATATTTTCTCCAATTCCATATCTTGACAGATCATTTTAAAAATTGAGAGCCAAGGAACTATCTACATTTTAGGAATTTCTTTTTAAAAGTATTTCTAAATTTTTATTTTTCCTCCATATGTGCACATGTTCCAGTCACCCTCCACCAAGTCACCCACACCATGCCCCATCTGACTGCCTCCCCTACTCCCTACTCCCCATCTTTCCCTATGGTTGTCATTACATTCTTTCACTGAGTTCAGTGATTTATTACTACTATTCTTTGTGTATGCTTTTTGATAATTTATATTCCACAGATGATTAAAACCATCCAACATCTGTCTCTCAACTTTTAATTTATTTCACTTGACATAATCACCTAGAAGTTCATCTGTTTTGTCCCAAACGGCACTATTTCATGATTTTTCACAGCTATGTAGTACTCCATTTGGCTATGTATGCCGCAATTTCTTTATCCATTTATCTGTTGAAGGATACTAGGTTGGTTCCATGATTGGCAATTGTGAAAAGTACTGCCATATGCGTAAGCATAGATTATGTCTTTTCATACTAGTTTCCATATTATTTGTATGAAAACCTAATAGACATGTTATGGGTCATATGGCATTTCTAGTTTTATTTTCTTAAGAAATTTATACATCATTTTCCATAGGAGTTGCACCAGCTTGCATTCTCACCAAAAGTTGGTAAGAGTTCCTATTTTGGCACAACTTTGTTGATTCCATTCATTTTGATATGAACCATTCTCAGTAGTGATATCTCACTGTGATTTTAATTTGCATTTACCTTATGATAAATAATGTTGAACAATTTTTCATGTCTGTAGGCCATCTGAATGTTTTCTTTAGAAAAGTGTCTATGCAGGCCCTCTGTCCATTTATTGATTGGGTTATTTGTTTGTTGTTATATTGTTTAAGAACTTTGTGTCGAGGGCACCAAAAATAAATTGTGAAATCCACAGAGAGAATGTACTGGGCATGGTTTCTGAGTTCTGGAATGTGCCAAGAGAAATATATTGTAAGCCACACATGGCTATATTTTTTAGCAGCTTTATTTAAAGAATTAAAAAGAAACAGGTACAATTAATTTTGATCATATCTTTTGTTTAACCCAATTTATCTAAGATATTATTATTTCAACATGGAATCAGAAATTTCAATAACATGTGATCTCAACATGTAATGTTAATTGTGCCAAAAAGTCATTCATAAGAGAGTATACATGCCTTTATTTGTACTAAGTCTTCAAAGTACTCTAAAGGCACATTTTTAATTGAACCGGAAGTATCTCAAGTATTGAGTAGCCACACACAGGTCTTTGTATTGGACTGCATAATTCCGAAGCCCCATCTTGGCCCATAAAAGTCACTTCAGTTTCCAGAATCCCAGATGTAGTAGTGATGATAGTAACTCACAATCACAGTAGTAGTGAACATTCTGTGAGTGCTTACCAGAGAGTGGTTTCTACACTCACGTTGCTTTTTATCTGCCTTCTTATTGGTCCTGGGGGGTGAGGGTTCTTTTCCCCTTGAGGAAGGTGAAGGTCAGAAAGGGGCCAACCCTCACCAGTGGTCATACAGATAATAAACAGGAGAAGCAGGGCTTCATCTCACATGGATCTGGGAACAACTCCTGCTTTGTTATGTGCAGCAGCAGGATCCAAAGATGCTTTATGGGGAGATCTCAAGCACTAGGTAGGTAACTAGGTGCTGTGGGAGGTGGGAGGGGGTCTAGGTCATTAGACGCCTCCCACCACTGCTGGGGGAACACCCCTACCCATGACTATCCCACGGTCTGAAACAACTCAGAAAATGGCTTCAGGTTATTCATTTAGAAAAGGGAGAAACACAGGTCTCTGCTCAGGGGGATGGATCCTGAATGGCTTCCCCCCACGTGTATCTGAACCTCACCCATCAACCTCCTATGTGTGCCCCTCCAGGGATGCTGAGAGCTTGCTGGAATCACAGCCCCTGGGATCCTTCCTCATCAGAGTCAGCCACAGCCACGTGGGCTACACACTCTCTTACAAGTAAGGCCTGGAATAGGGGGCAAAGCAGCACCAGGACGGGGACTTCCTTGGAGGGGGGCCGGGGTACCTCATATCATAGCTTCTCAGAGAACACCCAGAGTGAGAGTTTGGGCAGATCTAACTGAGGAGCACGGCTGTATGTCCGGCTATATGTCTGGCTGTAGCCCTCAGGCATGGATTTGGTGGTAACTGAGACTGTCTGAGAATAGGGGTTCCCCGGGAGCCCAGAGTATCCACTGCCCTTCCCCTCACCCCTGTCCCACCACACTCTACTTGGCAACTCTCTGACTCGCCCAGGGAGAAGTTAACCAATTTTGGAGCATTCTGGCTCCTTGAGCCCCCAAAGCCTAATCGGGTATCTCAGAGGATTCAGCAGTAAACATTACTATTCAAAAGGATTGCAGGTCAAAGAATTAAAGAATCCATGACAGAAGTGCTCACTGTGGGTAAAGCTTAGGCCCTGAGTCACCCAGTTCAAGGCTCAGCCATGCCACTTATATGCTGTGTGACCCCTGAACAAGTTACTCAGCTTCTCTGTGCCTCCTTCCAAGTCTTCCTCTAACCTAGAAAAGCTAGAGTTAATTCAGTTATGACCAAGGATTAGGTGAGATATAGTAAGCACAAGGTGGGCCATTCACAAATGTATCCGTTCATTCATTATTGAGTCCCTGCTCTATGCCAGGCAGGGCTTTGGAGGTTTGGCCTCTGGGAGAGGCCTGATCATTATTCTGGGGTCTGATTCAGATTTTCATCATTTCTATTGATCATTAACTCCAAGCCAGGCACCAAGCCAAACTTTTATTTTTAAAGATTTATTTATTTATGCATACAGAACTGGGATAGAGGCCATAGGTGCAGGGGCGGTGAGAGGATTCACCAGAGACAGAGTGGGGAGCAGAACAGGCAGATGGACGAAGTACACTGTGAGGGGAGCAGCGGGCGAGACTGGAGAGGTCTGCCGCGCCATATGGGTTAGCTCTGGGGCTGGGGATCAAACTCGCACTAAAGCCACTGCGGCTGGCTTGCAGTGATGCGCCCTAACCCGCTGCGCCACCAGGGAGGGCCCACCAAGCCAAACTTTTACAAGCATTAAAAGTCACAAGATTTTCCAAGAACTCCTTAGGTCATCCTCAGTAACCCACATTACAGATGGGAAGTGAGATGGTGCGGATTAGTCGCTGGCTGGACGCTAGGTTATGCTCCTCACCAACAGTCAAAATGGGGGCAGAAAGGGGGGAATGGGATGTGCCACTGCAGTGTCTCCACAGAGCCCAAAGTTGCTGTCGCCACTTCATGATAAAGGTCTTGGACACTGGGAACTTCGTGATCCCTGGGGAGAAGAGGACCCATGACTCCTTGGATGCTCTGGTCACCTTCCACCAACAGCAGCCTATGTGGCCCCATAATGAGCTGCTAACTCAGCCCTGCGGGCAGGTGAGGTGGGAACCCCCAAAGGTCTCTCAGAGGCCAAGCCAAACGCTTTGGGTCCCATCAACCCCCTCCTGTGTCTTAAGCGTCTTTCACTCTCATGGTTCCTGTGCCCCCATGGTCCTGCACCTCCCATCTCTGTCCATTCTCCCCCTCCCCCAGAACCTTTTACAAAGGTTGAGCTATCTGATATAACCGTGGCTGACCTATATAGCTAGCATATTCCTGATGAAGCTCAGTAGCCCGGGTTCAGAAGATGCAAAGGGGGGCATGTCTCCTTATAAAGCTCAGTGGGCGGTGCCTTGGGCCTGAAACTGCTGTGGGCGGGGCATGTGTCCATAAAAGATCAAGGTTGAGGTAGCTCCTGAGTCTGGCTGTCAGGGGTTTGTCTGGAATGATATCCCTGACCCCATTCTTGGTAATGAGCAACGGAAACCCTCCTCTGCTCCACAGAAAGATCCAGAAAATGTAGATTATGAGGATCTCTTCTTCTATTCCAATGCTTTGGCTGAGGAGGCCTCCAGGCCTGCCCATGAACCCAGTAGACAACAGAGTCCCTCCTCCTGCCCCATGGAGGCATCTGAGCAGGTATGTGACAGACAGGTGACCCTCCAACTGCAGGGAGGGGGAGGGCAAACGTAGCCAACAGCTGCCAGAAAGCGCTCTCCAATGAAGTTATATCCTATAGCTCAGAGCTTAAAACCTTGCAGTGATTTCTCAAGGCAATGAGGTTAAAAATCCATTAAATCCACTAAATCCATCACCAGCGCAGCTCCAAGCTCTCTGCCATCCCTTCTTTTATTCAGACACAGCAAGCAAACTTCAGGCCTTTCCTCATGCTGGGGCCTCCTCAGGGCCTTTCCCCCAGATTTCCTATATCCAGGTTTTCCCTTCAGTTCTTTGAGGGTCTTCCTCCCCAGTCTCCAGACCTACCTGTCCCACAGACCTGAAGCAGCCCCCTCTGCATTCCTCATCATACTGCCGGATGCAAAGCACCCTCACAATGTGAAAAGTCATACTTATTTATAGGTTTACATGTTTCCTGTCTGCTTGCCACATCAGACTGAACTTTGGGAGATCTAGGACTCTATCTAACTTGTTCACCTGTGTCTCTCCTACCTACATAGAGGACCCAGCACAGTCGGGTGCACAATCAGTGCATCTGTGGAGTAAATGGAAGAACAGGTGAATGAATCCCAGGTTCTCATGGCTCAGTGGACCTTCAGGCATCCCTTGGTCGAGACCTAACTTCCCAGACTCCCTACAAAACAGGGAAGTTCTAACAGCAGTGAACACAAAACAGGCTGGTGTGGTGGACATCTGTGGTGTATGGGTGATTGCAGTCAAAAGAGACTTCCCGGAGGAGGTGGTATGGATACAGGACATGGATCTGAGTGGGAGCCAGTCACACACAGAGATGCAGAGAAGCTTCCCAAAATAGGGAATGGCACATGCCAAGGTCCTGAGGCTTAGCATATTTAAAAAACTGAGAACAAAAGCCAGCAGGTGGATGGAATGATACTTGACTGTTGAGAAGTGAGGGGCTAGAGTCAATAGCTGCTGGATCTGCAGGACCTTGGAGCCAGGCTGGGGAGTTGGGATTCTATTTGAGGTGTCCCAGGGAGACACAGGAGATCTTGAGCATGATTGGATAGATGGTATTAAATGATTCCTGTGATTGCTGGCTGCATAATGGCTGGGGGAGGGGCAGTGGTGCGGGTTTCAGGAAGGAGATGGGAACTACATCTAGTCAGGGAGGGACCACTGGAAGATCTCAGGGTGGGGAAATGTATGTTTGGGATTGCATGTTAGAAGGGAGCTAGAGGATGACATGTAGGTAGAGGATGAGAAAAAGGGATATTGTCATTGTCTGGGCTCCAAAAAACCTCTTTGTCCTTTGTGACTTGGGAGGTGATCCCAGGAAATGCCATGATGGAAACAGGAAGTGGGACAGGAGCGAGAACAGCTGATGAATCACCAATGAGCAGGTGACCCCTGTGGCCACCCAGGGCTCAGTCTCCCTGTGAAAAATTGGAGGGACTCTGTGGGACGCTTACCTCAGTTGTCCATCGTAAAGAAGAGGGAGCTGGGGTATTTGATCTCCAGCTTCCATCACTGGTCAAGCACTGTGCCTGGGAGATTTAAATTCCTTGCAACTGCTGGTTACCATAAACACAGTGGGGATTGGTAGCCAAACAAGACACCCAGGCAGAGTCCCAGTCGCTGGCATGTGGTAGGGGAACCAGGGGCACTGAAGTGTTCACCACTAAGGGCCAGGACTACCACAAGCCACACCTACATTTTGTCCTGAGCAACCTTGTCAGCAAAATATTACCCTCGGGCCACATCCATCCCACTGTCTGTTTTCAGAAGGCCCATGAGCTAAGCATTTTTGAGCAGTTGAAAAATATCAAAAGAAAATAAGATTTCAGGTCTTGTGAAAATCAGATGAAACTCAAGAGTTCCATGTCCATAAAGTTTTTTTTTTACTATTTTTTAATTTTTTATTTATTTATTTTATTTTATAACAGTTTATTTTTACATCATTTTGTACTTTTTTTTTTTTCATCTCAATTGTAATCCCGGCGGGTTTCCCATCACCAAGTCGCCCGTGTGCCATCACCATAGTCCTGTGCACTTCCCTCCCCTCCCCCCCGTTTTTGATTCCACTCCCCACTCCACCCCCGCAAAATGTCTCTGGTACATATTATTCTTATTATTTTCTCACCTGCTCCATTATACTCCTGCTATGAGTGAAACCACCTGGTATTTTTCTTTCTCTTCCTGGCTTAACTCACTAAACATGATCTTTTCCAGCTCCATCCAAGTTGCTGCAAAAGACATGTGTTTCTTTTTTTTGGTTGCTGAGTAATATCCCATTGTCTATAGGTACCACATCTTTTTAATCCAGTCATCTACTTTTGGGCATTTGGGCTACTTCCATGTTTTTCCAATTGTAAATAAAGCAACAATAAACATGGGGGTGCAGGTATCTTTTTCAATCAGTGTTTTTGTGTCTTTTCCGTGTCCAATGAAGTTTTATTGGAACACAGACATGCTTGCTCATTGGTGTCTGATCAACAGAGCTGAGTATTCAAGACAGACCATGTGGCCCTAAAAGCTGAAAATATTTACTATCCTGTCCTTATGGGAAAGGATTGCCAGCCCCTGTGAATCTGTTTACCTAGAGAGTAAACAGTGAAGCTGTTTACCTAGAGAGACTGGATGGGGCAATGGACTAGACCTGAGGTTTGCTCGGGGACATTTCTTGGCCCCAGGACATCTGGGAGAGATCCAGGTTCCAACCAGGGAAAATTCGGAGCTTCATAGGGTGGGCTAGCCTAGTTCTCACCCACTCTCAGTTGCAGGCCTCGCCGCAGTTGGTCCTGCTTCATCAGCCAAAGGAAAGAAGGTCATCAGCAAAGATGAACAGAGTGCCCCCAGAGAAAGCCTCTTCCTCCTACACCCCAAAAGCACCTCTTGAGGGAGCCTGCCAAAAACTCTGGAAGAACTTCAAGATGCTCCCCCAGACAGGCAAGAAGGTCCAGCAGCAGCTGAAATCCCACCTGGTGGCCGTGAACTTGTTCTCGCCATGGGATGCCAGGCGAGGGGCCGGCAGCCAGAACCACTCAGGTGGCGAGATCTTGGAAGCTACTGTCTACACGGACTCTTTCGCATCATTCCCTGTAAACCTCGCACAACCCCAGGATGCAAGAAACGCAAATGTTCTCTCCAGGAAGGCCTTGAGGTCAGCCAGCTGTGGTGAGGTACCTGCCAGAGACAGCAGTTGGCACCACACATTGGAGAGGTCCCTGTCTTCACAGGTGGGCAAACCAGAAGCAAAGAACTTGGCCGAACCCGAGGAGTGGTTCCCGGAGGAATACCGCCCACCCCCACCCTTTGCCCCCGGGTACTGCTAGGGAGGTCTCCTCAGGATCTGGTGCCCTTGCCCTTGCTGCCAAGGACGATTCACACACAGACACCCTCACTCTCTGCCAACACCCACCAACCCTCAGGAGCCTGAGGAATGTAATAAAGATATTGCTTGGGTCTCCTTCTGTAACCGCCACTGGGTGACCTGCCTCTGCTTATTAGTGATGATGATGTTCAATTATAGCAAGTATATGAGGTGCCTATTGTGTGGCCCCCACCAGCTATTCCAAGATCACTAGTTCTTTTTTTCCTAAAGATTTATTTATTTATGCATACAAAAGCTGGGGTGTAGGCCAGAGGTGCGGGGGTTAAGAGGATTCACTAGAGACAGAGTGGGGAGCAGAACAGGCAGATGAACTGAAATCCACTGCTGAGGGGAGTAGTGGGAGACAGGAGAAGTCTGCCGCGCCATGTGGGTCACCTTTCTGGCAAAGGAGCAAACTCATGCTGCAGTGGCTGTGGAGAGCTTCATAGTGCTGAGACTTAACCCCTTTGTGCCACCAGGAGGCCCTGATCATTAGTTCTTTTTTTTTCCGAAGATTTATTTATTTATGCACACAGAACTGGGGTACAGGCCGGAGGTTCAGGGATGGTGAGATGATTCACCAGAGACAGAGTGGGGAGCAGAACAGGCAGATCGACAAAGTACACTGTGTGGGAGCAGGCCTGTCTCTTCTTCCTTTTGAAGAGACAATGGTTCAGAGAGGAGGATAGGAATGAACAGTGCCATGCAGGTAGGGAGCCTCAGAGCCACGATCTGAAATGAGGGCGGTTCAGGTTCTGGCCCCATGCACATGCCCTGTGCCAGGCTCACCTCCTCCTATTACCTTCTTGCCTGTGTGTGGGCCTGTTCATGCCTCCTTGGGGGTGCAAATGAAAGAGATGAGACTTTGGAAGCTTGATACACAGTGAGAACTTCAACGTCGATGACAGCTCTCCTATGATATCAGGACAGCTGCGAGTTCCTTGTCTTTAAAACGAGAAAGGCAGCCCAGGGCTGCAGCTGGGAATCCAGAGCCACAGGGCTGTGTGGTCCTTGGTGAGTCACTTAATGTCTCTGCCCTTGTTTCCCTGTCTGGAAAATGGAGAGAAAAACAATCTTCCTTTCTGAGGATAAAACGGCAGATGTATGTAAAACTTGGGGCTTTGGCCCACAACAGGAGCTTCATAAACAGGGGTACCCTAACTATGACAGTAAGGGCCTCTGGGCAGGTCCCTGGGGGCTGGTCTGTGTTGGAGAAAATGGCCACTGATTGGGCTGATTGGGCATACATGGGCTTCTGCAGGTATGCTGCAGGTGGGCGTGGGGTTCCCCAAATCTTCAAGGTGGAGAGATGAGTGATCTGGAGCAGGTGGCTAAGTCGCTATGCTCCCTCTGAATGCAGTGTGGCCAATTTGCCTGTATGTCACAGGAAAACAACGTGATGGCTGAGGGGCCATCCTGGAAAGTGAAAGCGACCCCTTCAGAGGCCCCTCTGGCTGCCCTAAGGCATCAGCAAAGAGTTAAAGCTTCCCTGTCTTTGAGTAACTCAGGGACTGAGAGGCGCTCTGAGCTGATGGGATTAGGACCCAACCTCAGGCTCTGGGGGGCGGGGTGGGTAGGGGAGGATAGCAGGATCCTAATCACACGTCATCTTTGCCCACAGACACTCACAGGGAGACACTGCCACCCCTCATAGTGGGGCAATATCCAGACGTCAGTCCCTTCCTTGTCAACAGGGGACAGGGTGGCTCAAAGAAGGTGTGGCCACACCCAAGGTCATACCAGAAAGACAGAGGTGAGACCCCAGCTTTCTCCCCCACCCCCCCATGCAAGGTAGAAAATGCCAGCAGATGCAGTTTCAATGATCTGTGTTTATTCCCAGAGCCCGGAAGGCCAGCTTCCACACTGGGTTCAGGGGTCACCTCCTCCGGCGCTTCCCCTCCTCCATGGTGGCTCAGATGCGGATGTGGAAGGTGCTGTGTACAAAGAGGAAAGGGATTAGTGTCACCAGGTGGAATGTGACCCTTCTTTGCCTCCTGCCTGATATCTCCACACTGGGTGTCCCCAAGGCAAGCAGGGGAGATGGACCCCCCTTAAGAAACCCCAGCAAAATACTCAGGTAAATGAGGGCTGAAGTCTAACCATATTCCATTACCTAAAGAGGCATTCACAAGATTTTCCCATCTTAAAGATGCAAGGTTAAGACCAGGGAGGCTGGGAAAGTTCCCCACGGTCACAAATGAATTAACAGAAGGACTTTGAGAGTCTGTGAGCTGTCTCCGTACGATCGCCTCTGACACAGGGAAACAGCTTGGTGGAGCAGAGAGGAGAGTCACCTGAGGAAGTCGGGGGCCCGCAGGATCATGTTCTGGAAATCTTCCAGAGACAGCCGGCCATCATGGTCTCCATCGGCCTCGTCCAGCACCTTTTCACACACCAGGCTCACCTCCTCGGCACTCAGCTCCCCCCGAGTCAGTTTGGTCACTGTCTGCTCCAGGTCCCATGCACAGATGTAATCGTCGTCGTTAAAATCTGCATTTCCAGATATGTGAGGACATGGAGTGAGGGGACTGCAGGGGCAGGCAGGCCGGGTCAGTTGTTGACACTTCTTGTCCCCATGTTACAAAAGGAGAGACCACCAATGCACTGGAGGGACCCCAAAAGCCAGGTCTTGCTTTGGGTTGGAGCAAGGATCTCATTCCCTCAACAAGTATACTGTGTGCCAGGCACTGTGATAACTGTTCTTCATTCATTTACGCATTCATTCATTCACTCAACAAATATATCTAACGCACCTACTACGTGCCAGTCACTATAACTACTTTTCAGTCATTCACACAAATATTTATGGAGAGCCTACTATGTGTCAGGCACTGTACTTAAGTTGCATTCATTCATTAAGTGTTTATAAAACTCCTACTCTGTGCCAGGCATGGGAGATGCACAATGCACAAAACAGACACTGTTGCACTCCTCAGCCTGCTCAGAGAGAAACTCAATGAAAAGTAAACAGATCAACAAACAGGAAATGAATCAGCATCACTCTGTGCAAGAGAGAAACAGGATAAAGAATGGAGAATGACCAGGAACAGAGGCTACTTTCAACCTAGATTTCAAGGTAAGACAAAGTCGGGGGAAAAGGCATTCCAGGCAGAGGGTATAGCAAAAGCAAAATCATGTGGCAGAATTTATATGCTGGAGGGAGATTGAAGTCAGTGTGACTGGAGTGGCGTGAGCAAGGGGATGTGTTTAGTGGGGAGAACTGGAGTGGGGTGGTGGACAGGGTCAGGCAGGGCTTTGACACCCCTTGGGGTAACATACAGGACAGCATGGTGGCCCCCCCCCCCCCGTCCCATGCCCCATCTTGCTCTGACTCCCACCCCCGTGAGTCTCCCCCAAGGCCCCACACGCACCATAGATTTTAAAGGCATAGTAGGCTTTCAGGTCTCGGGGAGCCATTTCACTCATCACGGAAAACAAGTCCAGGAAGTTGTCCAAGGTCATGTGGCCATCCCCATCCTCTGAGAATACCTGGACGATCCTCTCTCGAAAGGGGTTGTCCTGCGGACAGCAAGTGGGCCACCCTAGCCTGTGTCTGGGGACTCCATGTGATCTCACTCACAGCACCCACCTTCCTGGGCACCTCCAGCTACCCACCACCAAGACCTCCTCCACCCTGTCCCTGCACAGGACTCCCCGCAACTCCACCCTCCACCCACTCCACCCTCCACCCCACGCAGCCTGAAGCCATTGACGTCCCATTTTTAGCTTGGTGGTATCACCGCCTCTGGGGGAGGTTAATTGAGAGCTACTCAGTCACCTGGCAACTATAACTGGCTTTTGTGATGACCAATGGGACTCAAACTGGTCAATCAGGGGCTGCCTTTTGGTTTGCATCTGAGAAATTGAGATGGAGGGACCTGCTTTCTTCTGGCTGACAGGAAAAATCTGGGGCTCCGGAGGATTACTTTAGAGGGTCAGTAGAGGTTTCCTGAAACGGACACTTCTTCCTTGAGAGGATCTGAGAGACGATGGTTCCAGTCATACCTGAGCCTAGCCCTGACCCTGGAAGTTTTGTTCATGAGATCCAAGCCATGCTGTTCCTCTTGAATGAGGTTCCTGTGCCTTATGATGAAATAATCTCCACTCAAAATCACTAAGTCCCCCCCAAAAGCACAAACTGTATGAAACATCTAGCTACAAAGAAGCTGCTTTTACTAGCACTTACTATGAAAAGAAGAATGAATGTTTCCCAAGTCATTGACATGTAACAGACCCTGTACTGAGTCCTTTTCTTGCATTATCTTGCCTCATCCTTCCAACAGCTTGGGTTGGTATCACTATCTCTCATATCCTAGCTGTGTGACCATGAAGAAGTGTCTTAACCTCTCTGAACCAGTTTTTTTCATCTGTAAAATGGAAATAATCACAGCAACTATGTTCCAGGAAGGCGGCGAGGACATCCCTACTACTTTCCCCTGCCTCCCAATGGCCCAGGTATACCTTCAGCTCAGGCATACTGATGATGAGTTCATAGGGCACCTTAACTTCAGGGAAGCTTGTATAGTCGAGGGGAACAAGCTGGGGGGCCAGATCCTGGTAGCGATAGAAGAGCCTGATGTGGGGAGCAACAATTGGGAAGCACTGAGATGACAGTGGGGGAGAATTGTCCTGTCTCATTCACACTTGCAGCTGCTTTGCCACACAGAAGGCTGGGTGCCCACGAGCCATCAGCCCTGGACTCAGCTTTCAAGTCCACAAAGGCACTTGTACTCTCCTGGAGACAGGGTCAAGGCGGAGAGATAACCCCAGGTCAGGGGAGACTAGAGTGGGGAAAGCAAGCCCAAGCCAAGGAGGAGGAGCATCAGTGCTTGACTTTGAAGTGTGAGTAGGAGTTTACCAGGAGATGCACATTAGCAAAAGGGAGAGTGCTTAAAGCAAAGTTATTTCAACCATTTAGAGACTCTAAACTAATCTATACTAGTCTAATCTAAATTAATCTACGAATCTCTGGGTATCTCCATGTTGTCAGGAAAGCACTGCCTGTAAAAACCTTCACCCTCTTATTTGCCTTCTCTTCCTCCACAGTGGGAGGTAGGATTCCCTCAGTGTGGCAGAATGAACTAAAGACTAATATTCTGAATTTTTTTTTATTAAAAAGTTTATTTTTTACATCATTTTGCACATTTTTTTTTCATCTCAATTGTAATCCCCACGGGTTTCCCATATTCTGAATTTTTTAAAAAGAGTGAATGAAAGCATTTTTCAAAATATCAAGTACCATAGGCATTCCTTAGATTGAAGGGCTGGCTGTCCACTCCATGCCGTCACTTGGTGAGGTTAGACCTCCATGGGGCAAGCTGGGCTGCAGCCAGGTAGAAACCACCCTGATGAGTCAGAAGTCCCCAAACTGCTAGGGACCGTTTCTGAAGGGGAAATAGCCAGGAACTCAGGGGGGGGGCATCTGTGACTTCAGTCCTGACCACCCTACTCCCTATCTGGTCTCCCTCAGCTGGGAGTTGGGTGACTGTACAACCCTGAGAAAGTCGCTCTTCTCCTCCGAGCTTCAGTTTATTCTGTCTGACAAGCAAGAAGTTTGAGACAGACACAGTGTCGGCCCTCAAACCCCTTGGGTCTCTGCCATCTGTAGAGCCAGAGCCATTCTTCTGTCTGAGCCTCAGTTTCCCCATTAGTAATCCGATCGTGATGGCCAGGGTGACCCTTCGAGCTGTCCTCACTGGGACAATGGGGCTCATTGGTAAAAGGTGAGCACATCAATAATAGATGGCTTGTGCCCACGCAATTGGGGCCTTGGCCCTGATCGCTCTGCAGCTGAACCCCAGCAGCTTGGGTTTCACAGCTCCAAGTTCATGGGTCGGGGCCTCCAGACAATGGCCTCATGGGCCAAGTGATGCGTGGGATACCTGTCTCTGCTGGTCTCACTGGGCTCATGCCAGGGACCGGCAGCAGACCCAGGCCACCTCTCTGCACCTCACCTAACATGAATGCCACCGCCCAACTCTAAACTCTGCCCGTGGGCTCCTAGGCTCCAGTTCCCAGCCCCTTCACACTAGTCTTAGGGGAGTCTTTCTAATATGCTGACCTGTCCCTTCCCTGCTCACACACACTCCCTGGCTTCCCACCACCCTCGAGACAAAGTCCAAACTCATCAGCCTAGAAGCTGTGGCAATAGGCCAAGGTGTGACTTGTCACCTCCCATCCCAGCCTCCATCCCCTAGCCGTGTCTGTGATGTCCCCATCAGTGCTTTAACCATCAGGAAAAACAGAGCTCTGTCAATTGTAAATATCTTCCAGCAATGTCTAGAAAGTTGTTGCCAGGTATTCTTTTCCAGGCTTACCTCATAATTTCCTTCCTTGTGAAGAAGGTGCAGTCCTGCAGAAAGAAAGGTTGGCTTGGCCCAGACACTGGTTCCTTTCCTCCTCCCTACCCCACATACATCTCCACCTGATGCCACACACAGAGCCACACCAAGAACCCTCACCACAGAGCCATGCTGGGAACCCTTGCTGACTGTAACCCCAAAGGGATGCTGTCCTTACCTCTCAGGCCAGGGAACCAAAGCTGTCAGAGCATCACGGGCCCAGCCTCTCATCCCTACCTGATAAGCCTCCAACTGCTCATGAGTGAAGACTGTCTGCTTGTTGCCCATGGTGAAGACCACGTTCCTGAGAGGGCTCCCAAATCCCCCGGCCTCCTCAGGGCCACATAGGTTATCAGACTGCTGCGCGCCAGTGTCAGGGCACTGCCCTAGCCGTCACCCGCCCACCCGCCCCATCTCCCCCAGCTTGGGTGAGACTCAAGTTACAGTCCAGCTCTCTGGGCAACAACCCGCGTATGTCCATGGCCACCAGGCCAAGTAGGGCTGAGGATAGTCACAAGACAGTGGGGAGACCACATCTGCCCTCAGGTAAGGCTGCGGGTCTGCGGCACCTGTGAGGGGTGGGCAGGGTGGTGGAGCAGCTGTTGGCAAAACCCAGATCAAATTCTAGCCCTCCACCCACAAGCTGTGTAGCTTGAGACAGACCGTTTGACTTCTCTGCGCTTCATTTATCATGGTAATGATGTTAATATCTACCTCCCAAAGTTGCTCTGAAGATCTGATGAGGTCATTAACACAAAAAAAGCAAGAAATATTTGGCTTTTGGATACTTGACAGTTCTAGGCACTAGGTGCATAGCTGAGCTAGCTAGATGAGGTGTTCATTGGCGATGCAGTGATGATGATGTTGGTGGTGATGATGATGACATAGCTTGAGAAAACCGGGGGCTCAGTTAGAGACACAGCAGGTTAAATAACAGAGTTCTTTATTGTAGGACTTGTCAGAGCCTTAAATATGCTAATGTGTGTCAATGAGGCTCAAGGTGTGGGTACTATGGTGCAGCTACCAACCTTATTAAGGCTCAGAATACTCTTGGGCAGATATGTGGGAGTCAAAACTTCTGTATCTTATGGTCCACACTCTTGCCGCTTTGAGTCTTACCTGTCTTTCCACTTTCCTTTCCTGCCTGTCTTCTCCCAGCTCACACTCTAGGCACCCTGCATCACTCTTGGGGCCTCCTCCTCCCTAAGCCCCACTTTCCCGTCCTGGACCATCATAGTTCCTCCTAACAAGCTACTCTGGCCCTGGCCCTGGTCTCATCAACCATCCTCTGCCCAAGTGTGTGAAGTCATCGTGTAGAATGATCAACTTGGTGATGATCAAGAATGAAAGGCACTCTGATTCCCCCCCGCCTCCCCACACACACAAACTAACAATAACAAGAGCTGTGAGAACGGGGAGCAGTTGGAATTCTAATACACTGCTGGTAGTGTACTCTGAATATGAAGACATTCAGAAACCTAAGCAGTTTTACACTATTCTTTGTGCATATACATAGGAGTAGTGTTTAATTGTGAAAACAACAACAAAAATACCCCTGTCTTTTTGTCTTGAAACCTCAAGACTTTTTTTTTAAGATTTATTTATTTATGCATACAGAACTGGGGTACAGGCCAGAGGTGCAGGGGCGGTGAGATGATTCACCAGAGACAGAGTGGGGAGCAGAACAGGCAGATCCACGAAGTACACTGGTGAGGGGAGCAGCGGGCAGCTCAGGAGAGGTCTGCCGCGCCA